GCAGCTGCTTCCCTGCCCTGGACCCGTCCAGGTGAACCCTCCAAGGCTAGGCCAGCAGTGCAGAGGAGGAGCAGCAGGCTGGCCCTCTCTAGAGGTACCCACCCTCCCTGTGGGTCAGTGTTCAGGCTTGGGAGCTCATTGTCACAAGTGTCTCTATCCGGCCCAAGTGAATTGGTCACAGAGGCAAAGGGGGTGGCTGCAGCGCTAGCAAGGAGGACCACACAGCACATCCACCCTGCGCAGGACCCACTGAAAGCTGTTAGCAGAGGATGGCCTGGCAGAGACCAGCCCGGGGCCCCAGGAAACCTCCTGCTCCTGGGTGAGGTTAGTGGGTAGCGAGAGGGGCTCCTCCTGCCTCCAGGCTCCACCCCAGCAGGGCCTCTCTCCCTGAGCTGCCCTTGGGGGCAGAGCCAGGAGAACCAGCCATGTGGAGCTGGAACCTGCTCTGGTCGGCTCTGCCCAGGGCCCCAACCTCGACCCTCTCCAGCAGCTCATTCCCAGGCCCCTAAGCTCTGCGGGCCAGGAGCCAAGGCTGGGTCCACACCCGCCCAGAGCCAGTGGAACCAGGCAGCTGGGCTGCCGGGTGACTGACAGCAGTGAGGGCCTGGGCAGGTCCAGAGGCCCCAGAGGGCATGGGGCAGGGTAAGGGGACTCATCTGAAGAGGAAGAGGAGGCTGCCCTGACTTCCCCACCCCACAGCTGCCCTCCAGGGGACAGAGGGGGGTTGTAACGGGGGTCCCTGCCAAGGAAGGGCGGCAGCCTGGGCGCTCACCAGTTTGGGGAGGTGAGGAGAGGCCACAACTATGTGACTCTCTGCCAGGCGGTGGCGGCCTCACCAGTCCCAGGGGGAGGCACCCAGCTGAGGGGCAGGGGACAGCTCAGCCTGGACCCACGTGTCCGCCGGGCACAGATTCGGCACGCTGGACACTGGGCCGGGCGAGCCCCCGCCGGTGGCGCGGCCCACCCCACCCACCCGCGCCGCGCGATGTCCTATTAAGGGCATGACGGCGGGGGCTCCGCCGAGCGCGCCGGCCTCTTCCCCGGGCGCCGGCGGCCGTGGGGGTCGGGCGAGGCGAGCGGGGGGCTGGGCTCCGTCCGGGCCGCGGTCAGGACGGCCACCGCGGACCAGGTGTCAGAGGCGGACTGTCAGGCTGGAGGACCTGCCCGGGCCCGGCCGGACGGCAGGTCGCCCGCAAGGTGGGCGGGGCGGCGGCGCCTACCTTTGTACTTCTCCCGCACCTCCTCGTAGGCCTGGATGAAGTCCCGCTCGTCGGGCGGCGGGCCGGGCGGCAGCGGGGCGGCCATGCCGGCGGGCGCGGGGCGCTGCGGCGCAGAGCCGGCCTCCAGCCCCCGGCGGCCACTCTGTCCCCGCGGCCGCGCGCGCCGCTTAAAGGGGCCGCCCCCGCCCCGCCCCCGCACCCAGGATGCCCCACGGGCGGGGCGGGGCCCAGGGGAGCTGGCTCAGCCCGGGCGGGCTCCGCGGGCTCCGCGTCTCGGTCCCACGCGCGTCCCAGCGGGCGCACACCCTTTCCCGCTCCCGACCGAGTCGCGGGCCCGCCCACAGCCCGAATTCCCCGCCCGGCTGCCCGGCCCGCAGCGGCCCCCGCCCTCGACAGCCCCCAGCTCTCCCGCGACCCTGCCCGATCCGGCGACCACACCTGGCCGCCCCCAGGCGCGCCCCTTCCCTTGCTCCTCCCTCCTCCCTCCGCTGCCTCCGCCGCTACTTAGAATCTTTCCATAGCGACGCCAGAGTTAGAGTTGGTATCTTCAATATAAAAAGAGCCCTTAAAACGCAAAAAAAAAAAAAAAACTTCAACTAAGTATGGACTGAAATAGGGGTTTATAGGGAAGAAAATGCTTGGTAAAAATAAAAGAAATTCTTTTCCACCCATCAGGTTGGCAAAGCCCCCCGTCTCCCAGCGACGACAAATGTCCTCCTTTCTGGAACATCCCTGGCAATTTTCCTCTCTAACCTTAAATGCTCCAGATCCTGTGACCAGAGCCCCACTTCTAGGAATCAGTCCTAAGAAAGTTGTCAGGCGCCGCACAAAAGCCTGCCTGGGGAGCTGGCTGCAGGTGGCTCATGGCAGTGAGAGCTGCGGACCACCACACACAGAGCAGGCGTTGATGCTGAGGAAGGTCCAGGGGTGCGGAAAGTGGTTCATGATTCACTTTCATGTGGGTAAGAAAGGGCCTGGTCCCTTAAAACCTATATGTGATGCGTGAATTAGACTGGCAAGTCATGCACCGCATGGATGCCGGTCCCCTGCATGGGGGCGGCCCTCCTCCTCTGCGTTTCCACAAGCCATTGCTTGTGCTTCCACCCACAAGGTCCTTGCTGACCGCAGCACCATCCTTGCTCAGCAGCTGGTTTCCAGGCCTCTCCCAAGTGCCTCCGTCCACCCTCCCCGCCTGCAGCAGGGGCCAGCCCTGCCCTCCAGAGGCCTCATCATCATCTGGTCCTAGTGGTGGAATGGGGTGAGTACTCTGCAGCCCGTGTGGAGAGACCCTCAACTGGCTCCTCCCTTTCCCAGCACATCCTGCCCTATGGCCTCCAGGCCAAGGTCACCCACTTCCCTAAGGGAGGGCCACTGTCAGCTGCCAGCCCCACATTGTCAGCGGCCTCTCATCGGGCCTTTCCCGTCCTCCTCCCCAGAACAGCAGCTACTAGAGGGTAAGGCCAGACCCTGGCTCAGGGAGGGGCTGGGGCTCTCGCCAACCAGGCTGCCCCCACCTGCCCTGCTTCTACACGCTTCCACCCACACCCCACAGTGACAGACAAGACCAAGGGCTTGGAAGGGAGCTCTGCCCCAGGAGCCCAAAAAACTCATCATGGCATCTGAGCACTGGACGCTTGTCATGAGGCCAATGATGGCACGGCCCTGGGCAAGCTCAACCTCAGACCTCAAGCAGCTGACTGGGTGGGGCCAGCAGGTGGCGCTGTGCCGTCTGCACTCACCTAGGATGAGAGAGGCCCTCTCTGACCTGCAGATCACCCTCAGGCCTCCCATCCCAGTCCTAACACCTGCACATCGTGCACAGCAGGTGTTCAGTCAACAAGCGAGTGCTTATGAATTGGACAGACAAGGTTGTCTGGTGTTACCTGCAATGCGGATGACTGCCCGCTCGGCAGGGTCCAAGACACTTCCATTGCCCCCGGAGCCACCTCCGCTCCGCCGGCTCCGCTGCGTTTTCCCCAGGTTCCAGGGCAGTGTGTCCCCAGGGCTGGGTGAGCCGCTGCCTCCGTTGGAGCCATCCTCAGCCACTGCCCGCACCTCATGGTCCTCGCCTGACATGGCCTCCTGGAGAGGGAGCAAGAGGGGGTCACACCTCTGTGGGGGGGATACTGCACACTGACTCATCACCTTCTTAACCTGGACATTGACCTCACCCCATCCACCCTATCACCTGGACACTGACTCCCACACCCTTCCTATGTCCCCCCTCATCCACATACGGACCCTCTTCCCCCATGCACAACTGGCCTCACCCCCTCCAGCTCATGCCTCACACACCATACAGTGACCCCCACTCCCAGATATTGACCTCACTCCCTCCAGTCTATCACCAGGACATTGACTGCCCCCCCCCAACAGTGCCACTTCCTTCTCTTAGTCACCCAAATACTGACCCCTCCACGTTGTCACCCAGGGGCGCGCCCCATCAGAGGACACTGACATCACCCTCCACCCTCTACAGGGGGTCAAACAGGGAGGGGAGGGAGTGATTACCTTCACTTCACTGATCCCAACCTCCACCCATTCCATCCCAAACCTGGACCCTGTCTCCTCTAACCCTCTGATCAGCAGGCAAGCCAGGCCAACAGGAAGCACACTGATCGCCACCCCTCTCCCCACTCGGCCATCAGGGAAGGACCTTGACCCCATCCCTGGACGCGGGCGCTCTACCTCCGAGCTGTTTCAGCCTCTAGGGCCCCCATCGCCCTACTCCACCCCAGCCCTGCGCAGTCCCACCTTGCTCTCTGCAGTGAAGGCCTATAAATAACTGGAGCCGCAGCGGCGTGGGCCGCGGGAGCTCGGCTGCGGCAAGGCTGGGAGGGAGCCTGGGCGCCCCTCCAGCAGCCCACCCTGCGCGGCGCGCACACCGGCACACCCACGCGTGCACACTCCTCAGCTCCTTGTCCCCAAGAACGCTAGCGTGCAGGAGTTGAATGGGGCTCTGTCCCGGCGAGGGAGGGGTGGTGTGGGGGCACAATGTGGGCTCTGTGCCTCCGCCCTCAGGCTAAGGGCTGTGGGGGGAGACAGCAGGCACCCCGCTGGGGGGGCCACCCCGCCCCGCCTCCCACAGGCTCCTGCACCGGCCGCCTCCGCCCCAGCCCCCCGCCGGGAGCCTCGCCCGCAGCCGCACCTCCCCAGCAGCCTTTCCTGCCCACACGCCGGGCACCGCCCGTCCAGTTCCGCAGTCTCGGGCGCGCAGAGGTGGTGCCCTCCCGAGGGAGGATGGGCCACGGCGCAGCCCCTAGTTCCGGACGCCAGCGCAGGACCCCCCCACCCCAGCCGCGGCTTCCGCACGCCGCGCGCCTCTCCGGCCGGGCCCGGGTCTTACGTGCCTGGTGGCTCAGCTCGGCTCAGCCGCCGCAGCCAGACTGCTGGGGCCAGGAGAGCTGCGGGGCGGAGCGGGCGGGGCGAGCACGGAGCCCCGCCCCGACCCCAAACCGAGCGCCGCCCGTGCGATCCGGGCGCCCGTGTGCGCGCGGGCCGGGGCTCCCCAGGCGGCGGGGCTGGAGCGCGATTGCGGCCCGGCCCGGCCCGGCACAGCACTTCTGCGGGGACAGGGCGGGCGGGTCGGCAAGGAGACGTCGTTGCGGGAGCGTGCGTGACACCAAGGCGACGTGGGGTCGCTCGGGTGCGCGCTGGGTCCCGCCTCGGCCGGCTGCCCAGGGCCGCCCCAAAGGAGCAGCGAACTCTGCCCCCCGGCCCCCGCCCCTAGCTGCGCCAGGTCCCGCGCGCCCCAAACAGAGATCAGACCCGGAGCTCCGCCTGGTTTCACGTACACGTTTATTCAAACGGAGTCGCGCTCGGCCGAGGTCTGGCCGAGGCGGGCGGGTAGTCGCGCCGGCCTACCCTCCTCCTGGGCTCTGCTGACCCCTGGTGGTTGGGCCGGCCCAGGCGGGGACATGGCCCTAGCCCTCCTCGTCCACACCGCCGGCCCCCGCGCGGCAGCAGGAGGCAGGGGCGCCCCCCGGGGCCCCTCGGGCAGCCAAGCGGGCGGGAAGGCTGTGCGGAGCCAGGAGCCTGGGGAGCCGGAGGCCAGAGGCTGGGCTTAGGGGGGCCTTTAGTGTTAGGTGGGCAGGGAGTGGCCCAAGAGCTCAGAGGGGTCCCCGGGGGAAGCCCGGGACATGTGCTCGCAAGTGATGAGGTGGGTGGGCAGCGCCTGGGTGTCGTGGAAGATGACGAAGATGCTGGGCTGGCGAAGGCAGTCCACCGCGCTGTCGTAGCGCAGGAGCACGTGGCCAGGGGCCCGCAAAGGGGGCGCCCGCAGGTCCTGGCGGCCCTGGCCATAGTCGCCGGTCAGCACCCGCGCCACGAACACCGCCTTGTGGCCGTCGGCGTTGGGGGGCGAGTAGCGGTCCTGTACCGACAGGGAGGCGCGCATGGCGAAGTATACGCCCTGCCCGTACAGCGTGCCTGCGGGTGGGACGGGTGAGGGTCAGGCTCGTCCCGGTCGGCGGAGCCCACGCCCCTGCCGGGCCCAGGCCTCACCGTTGCGGCCGCAGAAGCTGCGGTTGAAGCCGCGCGCACAGATGTCGGGGACGGCCTGCGCCGACGTGCCGTGGTACAAGACCTGCTCGGCAGAGCGCCGCTCGCAGCGCTGCTCCAGGCGCTCCCGGTGCAGCTCGTACTGCTGCTGCAGCAGCGGGTTCGACACTCGCTCCACCTGCGGACGGCAGCCGTCAGGGCCAGGCTATTGGAAGACCCGACCTACCCCCTGGGCCGCCTGGACAGAGCCCAGCAGGAAATTAAGAGCCTTCTCCTGGAGAAGTTCAGCGTCTGGGGAGGCCTCACAGCTCCAATCGTGCTCTGTCCGGCAGCAATTAGGTAGCCATTAGCCCCCTCGATGGGCCCCCAAGTAGCATTGGAGGGCTTCCGGGGAGGCCTGCCCCCTCCAGGGAAGTCTGGTCTTTCCAGGGAGGCCTGCAGGTGGGCAAACTCAACCATTCACCAGAACTCAGCACCCACAGCCAGGCCTCTGCAGAGAAAAGCTGAGCTGGGTGCCTACACAGCCCCCAGGATTTCATTCCCAACACCAAGAGATGCCCCCGGACCTCTCAGTGCTGGGAAGACCCAGATGACCAACGCAACAGTCAGCCGTGGAGGAGCCAATTCCGGGGCCTAAACAGAGACTCCAAAGAATTCTAACTAGTCTCTTCAGAGGGGTGCAAAAGAACATTACACCCATAAAGCAAGACTAGCTGCTGTGAAAAGGAAACAGAAAATTAGAGAGTTCTTACATTAACAATGAAATTGCTGAACTAAATCCAGAGAAGAGGCCAAATAATAAGATGATGAAGATCGAGTCAAGGACGTGACTCAGAGTGCAGAGCTGAAGAGAAGAGATGGAAGCTGCAAGAGGACAGATGAGGGAGAGGGCAGCAGACGGAGGAGGTCTAAGATCTGCAGAACAGGAACGCCACAAGAAGACAACAGACAGGTGACAGGAGCAGCTGAGGGCACAGAGGAAGACAGTCTCCCTGAGCTGACGGTGGCATCTCCAGATGGAAAGGATCCACAAAGCGCCAAGGAGGACAACAGGGAAAGACACATCCCTGGCACCTACCTGCCGGGAAAACATCAACCTTCAAAGTGAAAGAAAGTGTCCAGACACACACACGCGCACACACACCACACACCCCAGAGTTGATACACAAATGGAGAAAAAGTCTCACATTCTCACATTGGACTTCTCACCACCAAGCCTGGATGCTGAAGGACCAAAGAGGGGTCTTTTTTTTTTTTTTTAACTTTTCAAGAACACAATCTTTGAAGGGAAAAGAAAAAGAGTAATGTCTTTCAAAGATCTGAAAGAAAACATATTTTGATCCTGAACACTCTTTCCAGGCAAACTATTAGTGGTGAGGACAAGATGAGAACATATTAAGATATGCAAGAACTAGCTGTGTTGATTAGCAGAAATGTCTTAATAAACACATAGCAACTTTCGTTTGAAAAGAAAGTTTATATTAATATCAAACTGTAGTTGCAAATTATCTCTAATTGTAAGAGGCAAAATAAATGTAAAAGTCCAAGATGTTTACTACTCACTCAAGAAGATACTTCTGTTAAACAGAAAAAGAATCTGTGGAAGATGGTGATGAGGGGCACCAAGAGTCACCCAGCAGCCAAGCAGAACAAAGAAAAAACGAAGAAAGTAAAAAAATCAACAGCTATTAGCCCTTGAATCCTAGATGTGAGGTTTTAAAACATGCAACACGGTTTTCATAGCTAGGATCTCACTTCCCTATTTCCTCTGTGGCTCAATCTGTTGTCATTAGCATTATACATCCATCAATCTATTGCCCACGCATGGAGCTTCTGTAACGACAGTTACAGAATAGAAGACGGCATTTGCTTGTCAACCTTGACGATGCGGTAAAAATAACGTCACTGACCAAACTGAGACGGAGAGGGAGGAGGAGCTGGAAGAGGCAGAAGGGAGGCCACTCTCCTCGTCTTCCATGCAGGAAGGCAACAATCTCCAAGGCTAAGTGAAAAACAATACTCAAATGTACCATCTAAAATCCCAAAGGTGCTCGCTAGAAGGGTCAAGTGAACGTGACTAGTAGAACCAGCAAGGAGAGTACCGGACAGGAGTGCCACCTGTCCCTCCTCCCTAAAAGCACACACGTGGCAGCTGCTAAGACCAGAAATGGAGGAAAGTACTTGATCCAAAGTTTTGGTGACTATCTCCAGGAAAGCAGTGGGGGCGGTGGCAGTGGTGGCAGGTGACAGGGCCAGGTCTGGGGAAGGCCAGAGGTTCTGCATTTCTGACCAGCTCCAGGTCGCTGATGCTGCTGGCCCACCCACAGCTTCATGCATCAAGAGTCAAGAGCGCCCACCTGGCCTCCCCAGCATGACGAGCCCAGCTCTCCACTGTCCCTTCCTTCTGGCCCGTGTGCAGCCAGCCCTCTGCGACTCCTTCCCTCGGCCAAGAGCGCTCAACCCTGCGCTGTGCTCTAGCTGCTCCCCACTCCTTCCTTCCATAACCCGCTGGCTTTCAGACTTGTCCCTGCCCTCGCCTCCCAGGCGCTCTTCGTCCCCACTCTGCTCCAGCTCCGGGCACTGCCCTCACACGCACTCACCAGCAGAGCAGAGCGGCTTGGCAGAGCCCCCTCCTCACTCCTTCCTTCTGGCTGGGCAGGTGCTGTGGGCTTCACTGCCCTCCAGCCTCCCCCATTGCCTCCCTGGTCCCTGCTCAGCCTCTTCTTCCTTCCTGCCCAGACAGGTGGGGCTCCTGGGGCTCCCCACCAGTTGTTCCCAGACTTTTTCTGAGACACCCTGGCTCGGAGTTGCCACATTTAGCAAGTGAAAATAGAGGAGGGGGCTGCCGCATGGCAGCAAGCCCTCTTCTTGCTGGAACAGACTCTACAGGAGGCGGAAGAGCCCCCAGAGCAGCAAAAGGTACATATCTGTGGCATAAGCAATCTTCACAGTAGCCACGAGATGGCAGCACTACCCCATGCTCCAGGCGAGAAAACTGGCATGGAGAGGGTCACACTGTCCATGGTCAGCTGGCTGTAACTGGCAAAATGGGGACCTGTGCTCAAGCCAGTCAGGTCCTGGGGCACCCCTAACTTCTGTGCCCTCTCTCTCCCCCGCCCAGACTTTGTGACGGCCCTCCAGGCAGGGAACAGGGCTGGGGAGCCCTAGTGCTCCCTGCCCACCGCCCCC